TTCGTTATTTGCCATTAGCTTTTTACGTATCGTCGACATCTGCGATATTAAGCAAAATATTAAGTTTTTATAACTCAATATAGACTGCTATTACATCTGGCGAAGAAATTAAAAATGAAATATAGTCTTAGTAGGAAGCAGTATTAATTAAATACTGAAATTTGTTTTAATTTATCTACTCGTGAACCTGTTGTTAACTTTCTACATTTTTTATGATACGTATTTATTCACTTTAAATTATAGTCCTGAATTGTCATTTGTCATCAACGGGTGTGTATAAGCTTTATTATAATTCGAAGAGAGATTAATTTTCTAGGGACCTTCACGAAATTTATAATCCGACATTCACGTGTCTTTCTCGAATAAATTATTGTTCTATTATCGTGTTAATAACTCCCACAATTGGCGATACGCTTTGTTTAATTAGATCATTATTATGTATAATAGAATTTCCTAGCAGTGTGCACTCATCCGATTAAAATACGAAGCGATGTTCGCTCAATAGAAGAACATTTTGATATTCATTGATTATAGGATATAATACAATAGTGTAATACATCAATTGACGAATGTACAACATTACTTATATACTATTCGCTAACATGGCTGGAAATAATATTTGCAACTCTAGGATCAAAGTAAAATTATATATTCCATGTAATATCTATCACATAATATCTAACGTTTATTGTATTATATACATTGAGAATTATAATCTGTTTATAATTCTTGCTTTTTTGCGTCATATTTAAAAATAGCAAATAGGATTATATTATATATTCTAATGAGAAAACGTAAAGTATATATGAAATATAAATAAAGAATTCACAAATAATCATTTAAAATCGCCCATCTGCCATACATTATCGTTTGCTGACCATTTAATCGAACCAATAGATATATATATACATATTTTCATATGTTCCATCGCTGCGGCAGCAGAAGTTTCTCCCGAAGAAACTTGTCCAATAAATAATTCCTTGTTAAGCCGTCGTGGACTTGGCGCGATGGTGAGCAAAAGGCATGAGGAAAAAGAACGATCGTCTCGATGTGCGCGCGAGTAAAGAGATCGTAGCCGCTGGCGGGCAGAAGGGAGACAGGCGCGGGAGTACGTGCAACAACGAGGTCGACGATAATAAATAGAACGATGGATTCAGTTCGCGATTCGGCGATTTTCCACGGCGCTTTTATATAAATAACGCAGACGTAGCGGCGGCTCGTAAAACTGAATTATGTCCCACCTACCCTTGTCACGCTGCTCTCGGCCGTCCGCAGCGCGATTCATCGCCGGTCATTCGCTACGCGTGCACGCGATCGTACGTGGCTCGTGCGCGGTGCATTTGCGACCGAGGGTGGAACGGACGGAATATCCCTTCGAGATACGATCGTGATTGACCGGCTGCGACGAAGAACAACTTTATCCAATGTGGCGAAAATTCTTTCTACGGTGATTTTGAATTCACCTTTCAACGCACGCGCTTGCGCGGATCATCTGTACGGCGCTAATCGGAATTTATCGATTTCACCTTTGCCTGCTAAAGCTTTGTTAGCGAACGATCGTATTTCGCGCGGTGCGGTATCGCGAGGTGAATACGAAATCGACACATTTTACGATATTTCGGATGAGAGCTCGCGAAGAGTTTTTCTTACAATATATATCGTGGAGAGAGATATTTATTATCTCTTTTATACGAGAGATTATTATTTCTAAATTTTTTTTTTTTTCACAAAAAGATGAAAGTTTGTAAAACTCGCATATTCGTGGAATATTTCAAATGTGATTAAATGTGACACAATACATATATTTCATTCTCTATTATTATATTAGTTTCACGTGTTAAATAATTTTTACTACATATAAAAAGACTTCAAAAAAATAAATGAGAGTATTTTGAGGATCATTATTAATTAATTTTTATCACACGTGTTATGATATGACATTGATATAATAAAATCGAGATTTTAATTATACAATAGTAAGTTGTAAAATTTTAAAACACGTTTCTAGAAGAAAGACTGGCATATGTTGCCCGTGAGAGAAGAAAATGTCGTGACAAACTCATAATGCAATAATAAAATATTTCGTACATTGCCGTAAAAACATTATCCCATGGCGTAGCACATCTGAATGAATATATTCCAAGGAGAAATCAGCGATGCATACTGTCTTCGAAAGCTTCGTCCTTAGACCTCGTTGCCGAAATAGAGGATCCATTATTCATCGGTAACTTCACAGGATTTTTCTCATGCAAGTCCTCGGACATTTTAGTAAGTGAATTTTACTATGCAGACGAGACTCCGCCGAGGAGGGAAATAGCGTGCAGAATATTCGCCTACAACACACTGCACTTTTATGACAACTATACGAAGGAATCGTTCCTTATCCAACGCACGGATAGCAGCAATTGCTTTTTCAACGCTCTGTATTCGGTGCTCCTTTGTGACCTATCTGAGAATATATGGTTCTGTATTTCCAAAGGGATAACCAGCGCGCAAGTCACGGATCCTTTAGATTTTGACATCGATGTCATCCCGCCTTACAAAGCGTAAAAAGCTGAGATGATTTACTTTCGCAATAAATCAACAGACTAGATTTATTTTACAAAGGAGAATAAACATAATACGTGAATGTACTGAATTTTGTTGTATAATGATTTTATTATCATATACGATTGATGATGATTTAATATCCTAAGATAATGGTTGACATCAATTTCCAACTGCATCGATTATTTTATCGACCAATACAACCGTCTACGTCAACTAATGTACATTTTTTTATTGTGACTGTATATATAGTTTCTTCTAATTAGAGGTAGAATATACGTTTCAAGGTCCGTGTTATGTATGTTGCAATGTCTACTATTTCCTTCTTTGTCTGTGACTTATACTTCATATTGACGATGTGCCATTTCTTATTAGTTTAGTTAATATTCAAGTCGTTTTACAATTATCTATTTTTTGTAATCAAGCATGATGTCATCTGTTCTGTTTTTCTATTTTTAATATTTAATTTTTTTTGTTAGTAATTTAACAGATTACTTTTTTTTTAAATAACGACGTCTATTATCTCTCCATTAACATATGAAACAGAAAAAAGGTAAAATTACAGCTTTGATCAGATTATTGATAAACATAGAAAATTTATTTAGAGAGAAGTAGTTATGCAAACAAAAATAACAAAGATAAATAACAGGTATGACTTGCAATTTTTTAGATATAAGACCTTCGGTCAATGTTAACTTTATTATATAATAATTGTTATATTGCACATGTACAAATATAATTAAAATTTTTAAAGATATGCGCTAATTTATTTTGGAAAAATTAGAATATCGCGTTATGTGTTTGCAACATTAATTACTACTGACACGGTTCTTTTCGGTATTACTATCTTAACAAAATGATTGTTTTAATTCGATAAAGCAATGTGCGAAATTCTCAGGAATTATCTCGATCCCTTCCTGCGCAATGACGAGCAGCAAGCGGAATCGTTTCCATGTGCATGCTCATCAGTCTACCAGGGACAACGTGTTGAGGCATATAGGAAAGCGAGGAAACTTCGCTACAGCGAATTTCCATTTAGAGAGATTTTGTGATACCCGCAGAGTCGGCGTAAGTCTTCACGGATTGGCGCAAGATAAGGACAACTTCTATCCCTTTCTTCTGCTGGAAATTGAAAATAAGTACGTACAGATTGTGTGATAATCCGACTCCTCAGCCATTCGTAGCAATCTTTGCCCTTTTGTAAACGAGACAATACTTTGCAGAGACACAATGACTATTGGTTACTAGCTATTAATTTTGCAGCAGAATGCTATTGTATTACGTTTCTTAAGATTGTAGTGTGGAAAAAAGTATTTAAGTACGATGTTATATAGATGTTTGCAATAAGCTAATAGTGTATGTATAAGACTTTTTGTTGCACATTTATGTAGCATGAACTTAAAAATATATTACGTATGTGTTGAGTATTTTGTGAAATAATTTTGATTTCTTTTTTCTTTAGGAAGTATAAACTTATTTTAATCAATATCAAAATGTATAAAGAAAGAAGTGCATAAGAATACGGCGCTTTTAAAAAATTTATTGCTATATTATAGCATAGTATATTAGAATTAATAAAGTACTACAGAGATATAATATTATTATACATAATATTTTATGAATTAATGTTACTTTTGTGTGAATTATTGTGAATATAAATGTGCTTTATAATTATCTGTCACCTAACAGCTGCTTTATATATACAAAATATATTATATTATACATATATAAGAGATTATCTATTTGCATATACATATAATTATCGTGTGTGTGTGTGTGTATATTAATTAATTTTATCGTAACATTTTTATTAACATTGTAAATCAATATTATTTTTTAAAATATTTTACGAGAAATGACATTACGTTTTACACGTTATTTTACACGACTTTACACACAGTAACAAATTGATAGTATCGTATATTAATAAAAGCCGATATACGCGAAAATTGCGGTTTCAGCATGGTACATGTCCTTCGAAAGGTTTCAGCGCGGGCCAAGGGTGAATTGCAAAGGGTGGTCCGAGGCCATTTATTATCCCCATTATCGTGGTTCTGACCTCACTGTCTGCTCCCTCAGGACTTGAACATACCTATAACATACAATCCCCTTTCACTCTCGACAATGCTGCCCTTGTCTCGCTGTCGAAATATAGTCGACAGCATCGATAGTCTTGGAAGCACATGTTCGATCGTGTTTTATCGAGCATTTATCTGTTTACCATCCACGAGTATCGGTTGACAATAAAATAGTCTATGGTTAAAAGATTCGATATCTGGTTACTAAAGGTAACAAGTAACAGAAGATTATTTGCTCATAGCCAGATAGTGTTTTTGAAACGTTTTTAAAGGAACAATTTCTTTAAGAAAGAAAGAGATTTATGAAGATTACTGAAAATATTGCTATATAATATGTGTATTATGCATATATAATTGTAAGTGGTTTTTCATATGTTATCTTTTGCAACATCTTTATTAGAATATATGCATATATATTTTGCAACACAATTTTTGTGTATAATTTGACGTATATCTATCATTTGTTATGATAATGCCTAAATAATATTCTACTATTGTATGTTATAATTTTTGTTTTCTACATAGCAATATCAATAAGATTTTTTATTTTATTTTATGGATATTAATTTCTAATAATTCCTTACACTACATAATAATTTGTATATGTGTATCTATATGTATACTTGATAACATAAGCCTTATTATCTATACTCGTACATCCACAAAAACATATTCGTATTAGTCAATGTTCAATTTTTGAAATGTTCCCGGAACTCCAAATAGATCGTACGGATTTATTACAGAATTTGATCGGAGAGATTCGTCAACTTTAACTTTTTCTTGCTCCAGAAACCATTCTCTTCGTTCCATCAATTTTGCTTGCCACATATCTGAAACAATATCATAGAAATCTGGAACATTCTTCACAATATCTAAATATAATATATATAATAAACACTTAAAGAAATTCTTAAGTTCAGATATTTAATTAAAAGAGTTTGTTGCAAAAAATAAATAGTTATTGTTAAAATAAATGATAATTAAAAAAAAACAATATTTTTTATTATATATAACTAAATATTCAAGTGCAAATATAATCATTTATTTTTTCACATCTCGCTTTAAATATTAAAAATCGAGATAACGTCATTCATAAAAACACATACATATGTATTTTTTTGTAAAGAATATTGTACCTGCTATAGTATCCAATGATGGTTGTTCACCGCCATAATCCATTGGTAAAATAGATCTTGATATAATCCCGTATAATGATACTTCTCCAGATGTATAAACATGTATCTAAGATGTCATAAAACCATAGTTAAAATTAAATAATTATTCCAATCTATACGAAATATAAAAATTTGTAGTTTTAATTTATATTTACTCTCTTAATAAGTTTTGCCTTCATCACTGATTTAATCATTGTTATTAAAACATCGATAAAACTTGGTGCATTTATCATATGAATTGCTTTAATTCTTGTACCATATGCTTCCTATAATAGATTGAATAATAAAAATTAATTTTTGCAAAATATATATTATATATAGTATAGAAAATAATGTATTCTTACATACCAAGATAGTGTCAATTTTTTTTAATACAGGTAGTGTATATTTCAAAATATGACCGAGAGTTAAATTGGTACAATCATAAATAAAAACATCGGAGTTAACTATATCTTCCTCTATACGCGTCTCCATTATCATGCAAATATACCTGTAATATCAAAAAATAGCATGCGCCTTTTATTGATTTTTAATATCTTCAAAAGGATGTATAGAAACGTGCATAATATTTATCTTTTAGTACATATATATGTATAGGTATATATGTATGTATGTGTGTATAAGTTAGTTTTATAAAAGTATCAACAATTTCAATCATCGTTTATCAAATCTGTTAAATAGAATTTGTACCGAGTTACTTCATTTGATTGAAGCTATAGATATCTAGTCTCGAGATATTATATAAGAATCCGCGCGAAAGAAAAGAGCAACAATTTTTCATGTATTTCCTTGTTTTGCCGAAGTTATCGATTTTAGTTTTTCCTCTTGATATGTACTTGAGGATAATAGAACTGTAGTAGTAGAGGAAAGAGCAGGACGTGAAGGTATTTTGTTTTTATCTCATTATCGATAATAGCAAGCACAAGAGAAGAGGACTTGCATGCTTAACTTACACTTATGCAAAAAGAAAGAGAAAGAGAGAAAAAGGTAGATTGAGAAAGAAGATTTCAGAGATCGTGTAGACTAAAGCGAAAGAATCGATCCGTTGTGATTGGATCGGCGGGATAGCATCTTGTGAAAGCGCTTAAATCAAAATTGCAACACAATAACATTAAATAATAATTTCATCAGTAGAGAAAGCATTGCGTGAAATCACGATAATATGGAAAGTTTGTAATGTTGCGTAAAGCTCAATTTTTTTTCTTCTCTTTACTCCCTTTTTTATCGTCGTTGCTGACTATTTTGTGTGCGTGTGTGTGTGTGTCGTTCTTTTTTATTTTCTTTATCTTTTTATGATATAATTATAATAATTTATGATATAATTATAATTATATTATCCTGTAAATATAACGTCTTCAAGTTTGTTTTTACAACATCTCACGATCTGCGTATAAATTCTTTCGTAATTATGCGTGATCGCGGCAATGTATGATAGGACGCATAATATGCACAATAATTCATAAATTAAAAAAAAATATATAAAAATATATATTTGTGAATATATAATATATTAAGTTAATTTGATCGGAGAGATTCGTCAACTTTAACTTTTTCTTGCTCCAGAAACCATTCTCTTCGTTCCATCAATTTTGCTTGCCACATATCTGAAACAATATCATAGAAATCTGGAACATTCTTCACAATATCTAAATATAATATATATAATAAACACTTAAAGAAATTCTTAAGTTCAGATATTTAATTAAAAGAGTTTGTTGCAAAAAATAAATAGTTATTGTTAAAATAAATGATAATTAAAAAAAAACAATATTTTTTATTATATATAACTAAATATTCAAGTGCAAATATAATCATTTATTTTTTCACATCTCGCTTTAAATATTAAAAATCGAGATAACGTCATTCATAAAAACACATACATATGTATTTTTTTGTAAAGAATATTGTACCTGCTATAGTATCCAATGATGGTTGTTCACCGCCATAATCCATTGGTAAAATAGATCTTGATATAATCCCGTATAATGATACTTCTCCAGATGTATAAACATGTATCTAAGATGTCATAAAACCATAGTTAAAATTAAATAATTATTCCAATCTATACGAAATATAAAAATTTGTAGTTTTAATTTATATTTACTCTCTTAATAAGTTTTGCCTTCATCACTGATTTAATCATTGTTATTAAAACATCGATAAAACTTGGTGCATTTATCATATGAATTGCTTTAATTCTTGTACCATATGCTTCCTATAATAGATTGAATAATAAAAATTAATTTTTGCAAAATATATATTATATATAGTATAGAAAATAATGTATTCTTACATACCAAGATAGTGTCAATTTTTTTTAATACAGGTAGTGTATATTTCAAAATATGACCGAGAGTTAAATTGGTACAATCATAAATAAAAACATCGGAGTTAACTATATCTTCCTCTATACGCGTCTCCATTATCATGCAAATATACCTGTAATATCAAAAAATAGCATGCGCCTTTTATTGATTTTTAATATCTTCAAAAGGATGTATAGAAACGTGCATAATATTTATCTTTTAGTACATATATATGTATAGGTATATATGTATGTATGTGTGTATAAGTTAGTTTTATAAAAGTATCAACAATTTCAATCATCGTTTATCAAATCTGTTAAATAGAATTTGTACCGAGTTACTTCATTTGATTGAAGCTATAGATATCTAGTCTCGAGATATTATATAAGAATCCGCGCGAAAGAAAAGAGCAACAATTTTTCATGTATTTCCTTGTTTTGCCGAAGTTATCGATTTTAGTTTTTCCTCTTGATATGTACTTGAGGATAATAGAACTGTAGTAGTAGAGGAAAGAGCAGGACGTGAAGGTATTTTGTTTTTATCTCATTATCGATAATAGCAAGCACAAGAGAAGAGGACTTGCATGCTTAACTTACACTTATGCAAAAAGAAAGAGAAAGAGAGAAAAAGGTAGATTGAGAAAGAAGATTTCAGAGATCGTGTAGACTAAAGCGAAAGAATCGATCCGTTGTGATTGGATCGGCGGGATAGCATCTTGTGAAAGCGCTTAAATCAAAATTGCAACACAATAACATTAAATAATAATTTCATCAGTAGAGAAAGCATTGCGTGAAATCACGATAATATGGAAAGTTTGTAATGTTGCGTAAAGCTCAATTTTTTTTCTTCTCTTTACTCCCTTTTTTATCGTCGTTGCTGACTATTTTGTGTGCGTGTGTGTGTGTGTCGTTCTTTTTTATTTTCTTTATCTTTTTATGATATAATTATAATAATTTATGATATAATTATAATTATATTATCCTGTAAATATAACGTCTTCAAGTTTGTTTTTACAACATCTCACGATCTGCGTATAAATTCTTTCGTAATTATGCGTGATCGCGGCAATGTATGATAGGACGCATAATATGCACAATAATTCATAAATTAAAAAAAAATATATAAAAATATATATTTGTGAATATATAATATATTAAGTTTACACACACACATGCGCGCGACGAATTCTCTTATGCTAGAGAAATGTATAAAGTATTTGTAAAATCAAAAAATCGTCCCTACTTTGCACATATACAATAGGTATTGTTGTATTTACATATTATGTATATTATTTTTACATTGTAGATATTACGTACTTTGCAGTTACATATGCATCAAACGCAGAGCTGTCGGTATGTAAAAACCGCAGAACATTTATTCTAAAATTTTCCGGTGTTAACTTTGGTAGAGGTAACCATTGCCTGAAATAAATAAATATTTTTAAAGATATCTCTCTTATATAAGTTCTCTTTCTCTCTCTCTTCCTCTTTTTACTTTCGACACAAAAGTAATCGATTTTAAACGACTATCCAAGACTTAGTAATAATTATGTATATTGATATTTATGTATGTGTGACATTATATTATTATATCAAACTATCATTAATGCTTTTTAGTGATATGAGATATGTTTTACATTTAAAGTATTATTAAAATATATTATACAAGAATTCGGCAACAATGTGCTTTTCAAACACTTACACACATCTAGTTATTTGAATTACACTATCGGCCAATGGGTCACGAGTGCTGTAAACCTCCGGAATCAGATTACGAAGAGTATAATGCAAATCCAACCGTCTTTTGGCTTTTTCTAAATTAAATTTTGCACTGTAAACGTAAAACTTTAATCGTTGTTCAGAGATATCTACGAAACATAAAATAATATTGATTATTACACACGGCATGCTAAGATTCCATAATGAAAGAAATCATAAATAAATGCAATGAAATACGTTGGAATCCTACTATCGTTGGTATCTGTCAACATACATTACAAGGATGGAATGTAGCATACTAATTTTGTCAATTATTAATAATTAAACACATAGTAGCTACAAGATTCGTATTTAGAAAAGCAGAGTGAAATAATCCACTTTATTGAAATTATACGCACAAAAGTAAATATGCATAGTGTTATTAATAAAAATTAATACGTAATATATTGACTAATAAGATCTTATTTTTTCTTCTTTTAATTTAAAAATGCGTACCTTGAGGAAGATGAAGTTGCTGTTTCAACCATAGTCGAAATTTATCCAGTAGCTCTTCTAAAAGTTCCTCGTTTCCTCCAGCCTCTTCTAATATTTCTTTCATTGCAGGCATTTCTAGTTTTAACATCTTTATGGTACTGTTTTTTCTTCACAAAATTAAATGAGCACAATTTGAAATTATTGCAAATATTTTAGATTGTATATATAATAATTAAATATATATTTTTATTTTTATCGAAATGTTAGTATTAATGAAAATAATTGTCTTTAACATATGATTTTTAAAAGTAATACTTTAATATATGAATTAAAGAGTTATGTTAATAATAAATATAATTAAATAATAATAATTAATATTAATTTATAAATAATTTATAATTATTAAATATTATGATAATATGGACATTCTACTCTTTTTTAAACACATAAATGTATGCGTAACTGTTCGTTGCAATGATATTTTCTCGATTGATCATTCTTAAAAATCGTGTCCCACTAATTGTAAGTGTGTTGCGATGTTTTGATCTTTGATTTCTTTTCATTTAATGAGATGACAATTTTGCTGAAAAGATTTTCACAGTTGAAAACAAGTGCACGAATTTAATAATTAAAACAGTGCATATGAATATTATATTTAACATAGAATAACATATACGTAAATATTTACATGTTTGAAAGAGAGTAAAATATTTATATTATCGTAATATTTACAATTGTAAATTATTTATAAATTAATATTAATTATAATGTTGCGATATGTGTGCTTGATTTAAATGTACTTTAAAAATCGCAATAAAATTTGTTTATTTGATTCCTTATTCTGAAATTGTATGAATAATTGCAAAAAAAGTTTCATTAGTTTTAATTAATGAGCATGGAAAAAGATACAGAAGATAGGCAAAGTATCCTATGCTGCTGTGATGTTCGATGAATTGTTTCATTATTACTCAATTGCTATTTTTTAATACTTTTTTATTTCTTTTCCTTCTGTCTTTTCCTGCTGTCTCGCTTGGCTTTACCTGCCTATTATTTTATTACATACATGATAGTGCAATTTAGTCCCATGTAAAATAACTATCGCGTGCATCGGTCTGGCTACAGTACCGTGTGCAATTATGTAAAACCTATGCTAATAGAAATTGTATAGAAAAATCTATTTATAATGTCAGTAAAAAGTGTAGAGAATGCGATAGGCCGATCACGGATGGTTTCGGTAAAGAAATGAAAGGATAGGAAGAAGAAATCTCATTACATCAAAGAAAGAGATATGTTTATAATAAAAAAAAAAAACTATGTGTATGTGTATGTGTGTGTGTGTGCGCGCACGTGTGTGCATATTATATAATATGTAATAATCTAATAATATATGTTAAACAAGCTGTAACAATTAAATTAATGTCAAATATAGTTTTTAAAGAATAAAATTATTTACAGTTATTGATATTAGTTGTCCAATTGGCACAATCGATGATTTTCACGATGATAGTTGTTTATGATATGAAGTGAGCACAGCATAAAATCCAAGACTAATATCGCAGCAGCAAACTTGCAAAATTTATATCGAGCATACTTCTTTTTTTTACAAATTGTGTTTTTTTTTGCTCCATCGATCGATTACACACTACTCTATTATGCAAGTGGCGGAAAGACTTGTTCTTAAAAACATGAATATTTACACGTTTTTGAAAGAAAATAAAATATTCATATTATCGTAATATTTTACAATTATAGATACAATTATAGATTTATATTACAAATAGTTTTTACTGTTACAAATATAATATAAAGAAGGCAGAAATATTTCTCTCGTCTAATGTGAAATAAAAAATTATTTTGGAAAAAAGATATATATATAGAGAGAAATAATTTTTAAAGAAATTTTGGTAATTATTCAGAATCACGGCTCCACCTGCAAATGGGCTGCAAATTTTTTAACAAAGGCCTTATTCGAAATAATTACCCCGTTTTTTCCGTTTTTTGGTCTATAACTTTTTTTTTAGCCTCCCCCGATTAAAAATTGTTATTTACATTATTCTCTAAGTATAAAAAGTTATCAAAAAAATTTGCAGCCCATTTGCAGGTGGAGCCGTGATTCTGAATAATTACCGTCATGTGTAACACTTATTTGCCATTAAATCATGTTAGAGAAACTGCCATGCATAATCTTCTATAAGTTTCATTTTAATAAGTTTTTAAATATAGATCATTGGAAGATAATTCTCTTAATCGTGTGTATGATTTGCAAGAATTATTTATAATTGCTGTTTATCTCTTGCCTAGCCTTAAAATATTCTTATATACATAAAAACACAAAACGCTATATGCGATAATTAAAACTTATCGCTTAAATCAACTGCGTTTTGATGCAAATTTATCTCGATTTTACTACTTCCTTTAATTTTTGTATTTATTTCTATCATTACTTTATCTATAGATATATCTCTGTATACAATCTCGATTTACTCTGTAAGACTTTTTAATTAGAAGTTTCTTGGTGAAGCCGATTAATGCAGCTCGATGTAAGATTCTATAGATAGCTTAATGTGATAGTAATTTTGTAGGAATAAAGTTTTTGTTGGTAAAATATCATATATCGATTATTTTTTCGATTATTCTCGATTATTCTCAGTTATGTCAGAAAATGTCATTAGCATAGACATAGAAATATATATATATATATGTTTGAGAAATGAGAAAGCTAAATGTTTTAAAATGATCAACAAAATGAAAATACCTACACGTCAATTATACTAAAGATTATGCTACGCTTAATCTTTCCTATTAATTATCTAGTTGAAAGCAATTACACAAATTCTTCTAATGCGATTATTCCATGTTTTTCCAATCAGTACAATATTATAATTTTATGATAATTTTTTACTGACGTATGCGTATATACAGGGTGCGGCATTTATAGTGACGCGGGCATATTTCTCGGAAACGAAGTGAGATATCAAAAAATGTTTCAGACAAATCAATTAGTAAAAAAAAAAAAATGTTTTTAAGAAAAAGTATGTAATTATTTCTAATGTATTTTTTTAAACAATTATTTGGTTTTTTCTTTACACTGATTGATTTGTGTTATTATTCTGTACATAAAAGTATTACGGTAAGATTCTCGAAAACTAAATATTTTACGAGATATTTTATTTTTTATATCAAAATATGTCAGATTAAAATATAAAATAACTCAAAAAGTATTTAATGAAAAAATACTTTATTATAGTGTTTTGGAAAGCTCTCGAGGTAAGCTATAAGAATATGTAATAAAAAATGGGGAGTTCCATTTAAGAAAACATCGACCACATTGACCTCACCTTGAAAAGACTACTTCAGGTCAAATCCATATTTTTATCATGTGGCCCCCTCGAAACCATGCAACTTTTGTCTGAAACATTTTTTGATATCTCACTTCGTTTCCGAAAAATATGCCCGCGTCACTATAAATGCCGCACCCTGTATATATATATCCTCTGTCTATAGTCGTCAGAAAAAATGTCAACATGTTGTCAATAAAATGTTAAAAATGTCAACAATTGTTGGTTATTTTAAAGCATTTAGCTTTCTTATTTCTGAAATGTATTGTTACTTAATATAGTTTTTTAATATATATCACAATGTAAAAAATTTTTATTTATTCATGATTAGGAGCAATATGCTTTAGAAAGCTAAATGCTATATTTTGAAATGACCAACAAGATGAGAACACCTGCACAACGTCAACTATGCTAAAGATAATTTTCTCTATTCCATGTTTTCCAATCATTAGTATTTTAAGACTTTGTTCTTTTTTTCTCTGACGACATTCTCTGACACCATGAAATATGTTTTTACTTGTCATATACCTCAATTCTATACAATTGGAGAAGAATACTTCCATATATTTCTGCAAAACAGGGTTATTCGTAATATATGAGGATGCATTAATGAAGTTATTAATGCGCAAATAATTGTTAAGTTATATCAAATTATTATAGAAATATGTAGCGACGCTTTCCACTTGTAACGGTCATCGTTAATTGCTTGGAATATCAAGCGTATCGAGAATGCGATTGAGTAGCTCGTCAACCATTAAGCATCCGAGTCTTGTTGGTACGATGCACCTGTCATGTTCATTGGCCGTACGTGTACAACAATCTACGTACATTGCCGTACATTCATGTTCGCTCATTGTTGCTGCTTTACGAAAATGTTGTCAGCGGTCATTTTTCACGATCACGTAATCGAAAAATTGTTACATTCTGTGGCTTTTGTGTTATACTCTCCTATTTACGGTCACCAAACATATAATAGATTGCCGTCATCTTTTCTACAAATTTGATATATGAGCACTAAAAATTATGGACTCTTATCCTATATATTTATACATAATATAGATTTAATGATACAATAAAGACACTCGTACAACTTTATACCAATTATTTTCAAGATGTTGCACTTCTTCATTATTTAGTAAATTTTTTTTATTAAACTTTTGTAGTTTATAGGTGTTATGTATATTTGTTTATTAATTGCGATAACTTATATTTTTATTTAATTCTGTTACTTTTAGTTATGCCAAAAAAAGAATAAGCAAAAAAGAATGAGAAGGGGAGAGGGGAGGGGGAAAGCAATATGAGATTATCAATCTATCCACTACAAGAACAATAATTAATTGATATGACTATCTGCTTTAAAAAAGCATCACCCATCAACTTTTTTGTCGGTCATCTCTCTATCGTTTCTCATGCCACGTAATTTTCCACGCGATTAGGACTTAGGAGAATGAGTTTTTAATATTGTCAATTTATAATGCGCGACAAATGCAGCTTTTCCTGGCAGCATTGCATCAATGCATCTCAGGTATCAATATAGAAGGTACGGTCAACATCGAACAATAGACAATTTTCTTTACGCGCGAGAAGTTTCGTGGCCGTTTCCGACGACGATTAGATAGAGAACAAGGTAATGGCGGGAGGTCCAATCTGCATTCGTAATGACGAACGGGGAGAAGGTGACACAGTGTCTGACCTCGGTGTGCGGGAACATTGGCCATCTATTAACCCTCGAGGCCATACATCCCCTCCCGGTTCTCTGTGACGGGAACCACTCCCCGACTACCATCCCTTAAACGATCCTTAGCCGAAACTATTCTCCATTGCTCTTCCATTTGATATGAATATATGGCCACAGGAATTCAAGATATATCGAAAATAATAAATAGTTAGTGCTCTCAAAAAATGATTGTTACTGTGATTATTATTAAAAATATATCTATAGTCTATAACGAAAAAATAGATATGTTTGCGATGCTGCTTACAGTAATTTTTAAAAGAATTTAGCAAACGAACGGCATTTAATATTTGCGAATCCTGTTCAATATTTCAGAGACAGAGAAGGTAAAATTTTCGCAAGGTTAATCGCCCATTGCTATCACGAGTATTTCACCGCTAATCTCTAGCATTAATGTAGTGTCCAATTGGAAATCGCTGGAATTTAGTCTGTATCACTGAATTTAATTCCCTTAACGAGATCTTGCCAGTCGAATATTTCGATACTTTGGTTAGAGGGTCATATCAATTAATTATTATTATTCTTGTAGTTGTAAGGCTGAATTTTTACGGACTGACTATTTATGGTGAACTATCCCCGTTTTCTCTTTATTGTCTCTGTTATGTTACATCCCGAAGAAAACTCTTTCCATTACGAATGTAGTTACATTATACACTTCTTATGATTAAAATCTGTAACATAATTTTTTTTTCTATATTTACTTCGATGAATATTGTTTTGCATATGTTAAATACGTATAGCGATTAAATTCACAAACGTTCTTTTATCAAATATATATATATATATATATATATCATACTAATACTCATTCCACTAATTATGCTAAAACAATCGAGAATGGAGTGCGCGCATACCAGCAAAGATACCGCAAAATCAATCAGTGGAAACACAATTAATTAGAGATTGCTGATTACATGCTTGTTTATTGTAATTTCATCAACTATTAGCTTATTTATAATTAATGCTAATTGGAAAGCTTGTCGCGTGTTTTTTTGACCATTGCGATAATTGAATCAATATTATCGCGAATTATGTTGAATTTATCTGAATACTTTAGAGGTTTTTTTTATTATTATAATTGCATATCCATTGGACAAACCACTCTTTTATTGTACGCCGAGTTTTTCATTTCCTTTTCTTGTTTCTATTTTTACGCTTACTTCTTTCATGAATAATGTATTATATTATTATTGCCCGAGAGAAAAAAAATGGATTTATATAATTATAGTTATATATATGTGTTATATATATAGTTATATATAACTAATGGATTGAGTTTGTCGATGCGATATATATGCGGCATAAGAAATTGCTTAAATATTTCACAATATGGATGTATATTCATCACTTTCGTTTGCTTTGTTATTTCTTAGTTTTGTTCAATTTATAATGGTAATTGCAGTGCATTGCAGTAAATGTGAATCTTTTACAAACATTCTGTACAGGTGCTTTCTATAGTAAATCCTGACTTCTCTTTTATGAGTAACG